AAGTAAACAAGTATATAACGTTAATTTAATTCAAATAATCGAAAGGGGAAAAAACATATAGAAATCCAACCATATTCGGTGTCCTAGTGCCCTTGGACATATTATCCAGAATAATGTAATGTAATGAGATATCTCTTATCCTTGACCTTCGCAAATTATGTTTATATCATATTATTTTTCCTTTTACAGTACTGTGGCACTACCCAACAGTTCTATCCCTGAGGTAGACTACAAAGCTGAATCCAACGCTTCAATAATCATTCCTAAAGGCAACTCAACGGCTGCAGTAATTATAAGATAGTTTCAGAATGTTAAACCTTGTTAGTCTCTCTTGATTACGGATATTTTCTCGTCATGTCATCGTTGGCAATGTATTTTGTGCTTAGCTCTTCGTTCGAAATGCTTTCTTGCACGCGCGGGTACGGCTAATTATGATAAAGTAAGACTTTTTGGATAAGATTTTCGTGTTTTTGAAAGAATAATAATGTTTTATATTTTGAGGATAGCTTTTTAAACCTGAGGCAAAATACTTATTCAAAAATGAAAAGATTTGACCGAACAGTTTTTAATAATCTTTTTAATATTAATCATTGCAGCCTCCACGGTGGACCTACCTTTGTCGAAGGTCGAAACTGCTTTGTATGAATTCCTAAAGTTGAACTTCGTGGCAAGAGTTTCACCATTGCTCTCTGAGTTAAAGTGAAAAGCATCCTCGACGATAGAGTCGGGGGAGGAAGCGGAATCACTTACTTTTAAAGATTCATGATTCCTTACCAATTTTCATCGATGATTCATGATTCCTTGTCAATTTTTTTTGTGATTCATGATTCAGAATTCCATCTACATGATTCATGATTCTCTCTACTTTAAACTCAAAGATTCATGATTCCTGCAAATTTCAAAGTCGTGATTCAAGACCCCTGATACCGCCTCACCCCCGAGATAGAGTACAAGCAGTATTAGTGACTGGTACGATTCATGGCACTTCTTCCTTGCAGTCCATAAAATTGGAATTATTCAGTTTGTTCGCCATCCAACAGATGAAGGCTGGTACTGTCCTAGTTTGGAAAGCAATTCCACAATCAGCGTTGGCAAATGGTTTTACATTGCTGTTACATGTGATCAGTCAGGAGGTGTTAGCAAACTTTACATTGACGTTAAGGAAAACAATACTCTTGCTATTGACAAAAGTAGAAGGTGGCAACGTCCAACGAGAGACACTTACCAGATAGGTGATGATGGCCATACAAATGAACACCAGTTTCTTGGCTCAGTCATGGATTTGTACATCATCGATGGTGTTTTAACTGGCGAACAAATAAATCAACTCAGAGGTGAGAACTAAGTGTGCCGGAATCCGTTAATAGATTTAAAGTATGGTAGTGTAGCAGATCATAGTTATGGAGTAAAATGGTTTGGAAACTCCATAGAATAAAGGTATTGTTTTGCGTTTGAGGTTGAACCGTACCATCACGTGATACTAACCGTGCACAACGAACCGAAGCAAGTATGGCTGAAAATACTGATTTCCTAATGATTAATAAAAAAAAATTAAAAAAGCATAAAAAACAATGAACATGCAAATATAACTATAAATAGACACATATATATATATATATATATAATTATGGATTATTGCCGCACTCCGGCAGTTTTTGTTTCTTTTCCAGCCAATAATAATAATAATGATAAATAATAATAATGTCTTTATTTTTAAAAAAAATCTAAACTTTATAGATATACAGACGTAAGGATAAATAGAACATATACTAGTTAATAAAGCGTTACTAAAAAGTTACATAAACCCAATCTAAGGGATTGAATTCAACTCTAACGTAAACAGTTATTTTCACTCTCGCGAGTCTTATTTACTCTAAATAGACCCCTTGCAGCACTTTGAAATGCAGCTCAATTCGGGGGACAAAACAATATGTTCCAATTCTCAGGAGATTGGGATTCTTTTGTTTTGTCCCCCAGATCGAGCTGCTTTGATGTCATATGCAATAGTGGAATTTTAAAAATAGGAGACATTCTGTCATCTTTCAAGTTCAACTCCATTTTTCGAGTACAATTGACTCCCAAAATGTAATGTGTGCCTTTGATAAACACCTTATGCTATTTTCATGCTAAGGATTTCTTGAACTCACTCCAAGCTTCCAGAACAACACGTTCGTGTTTACGAATGAGACAGTGAAATGTCAAGCCAAAGGTTCACCCACTCCATACGTGGCCTGGGTACGCTCAGGGGTAGTGCTAGTAAACAAGACATCTACTGCAGAGATCACTATCACTGAGAATAATGGAGAGTACGTGTGTGTTTCTTCCAACCGAGAAGGAACAAAGAACATGACCCTCAAGGCAAAAGGTATAAGACCACGCTTTTTTTCTATTCAACTCACAGCATTTCTTATTTAAAATTTGATGTTTTAAAAAACACAGCTCCTCTTCATCTTTGCCATGACTACCGCATCATCACTGACGTGTCCAGGGCTGTCAACCATATCTACCACTCATCTCAAGTCAATAATGATAACACAAATATTGACCTTAGTAAGTGGTATCGTATCCAGAGCCCAGCTGGTAATCAGTTACCAACCACGTGTGTCCCACAGAACAGGTGTGGTACCCAGGCCCCTGGATGGTTGAACGGAGCACATCCAAGCATCCAAGATGGAATCGTCAAGAGAACTGTCTGCTTTCACTTCAACGGTGACTGCTGTTATCAGAGCACCACGGTACACATCAGAAAATGTTTTGGATATTACGTGTACAAGATCAGCGGTGTACGTAAGGCATTACCTGGTCGATACTGCATTGAAAACGGAAGGCACAACAGAGCAGGTGAGGTTTTTATAGTGTACTTGGGCAGGTATTTTGAAATTCTCTATTCCGTGGCGTTCCATCAGGATTTTAGCTAGATATTTTCAGTTTAATTTTTTTTCAATGTTGGTTTTCCTGTGGTAACTGGCCAACGCTGAAACATTGAAGAACGTAGAACTAGGAACTTCATTTTAGTAGTAAACTCTGACGGCAGCCACATTTATATACATTTTGTTCAACTTAGATCAACCCGATACAATTTTTCAAGAAGGCGAAGAGGGCGAGGGCAGCAGAATTATCGGTCACGTGATGTACACGGAAGCATATGTCCCGGATGTTTTCACCTGCATGAATTACTGTCAGTTGTATAATGGTTGTAAGTCATTTAACTTTAGCAGAGAGAAAAAGATCTGTGAGTTGAACAACGCCACAGGACGGGAACACCATGATGGCTTTCACAAGAAAAGTTCATTCGTTTACTACGAGAAAATGAGGTTGCTAACGGTTAACGATGTTTATTAATCATTTGTAACAAGACGAAATTATCAAAAGACGATCCTGGGTAGCCACTTGAATTGGTAAGAAAGTGAGTTTAAAGTTGTGTTATACCAAGCCGTATCAACTGCACACTACGAAAGGTTTAGGAACACTGAGCATGTCTGGGAAATTATCGGGAACATGGAGAATGCGGCAACTACTAAACGTACAACATTCTTAGACTAGACCGTGCCAATAGTAACATCATTTCAAAGAAGTTTAGTGCTTTTAAAAGTGCTACCGTAGCTACCCTTTTATTTAGCTAAGTTTTTCGCCATGTTTTTCTGACTGTGCAATACTAACAAACTTTTCCCAAATAAAATTGTCGTTCGCGTGATCATCAACTCCATATCCATATTTGTTTCCATGTTAAAAAAAATAGTTTGAGTTACAGGGTCAATATAATTGGCCCATCCAAGGGACTCAATGTAGTCATTACATTTTTTCTGATTTTAAGGGCGCAAATATAAATATATAATATAAATATAACTATAATCTTTACTAATCTTGTTACATTGTCTTGCTTGCTGGATGGCCGATATAGATTATTAGATAGATTAGATTATTTCAGTACATGATTTGGTGGTGAATACAGCTGAGTGAGACCCTTAGTTAGCTTAGCAAAATCAGCGGTATTTATCAACAAAGCATGTACTAAAATAATCTAACCAAACCAGGAATTGATGGACAATACACGTCACTGAATAAAAGAATCGCAATATAACAAATGAATCATTACTGAGAACGAGCTAACCTAACGAGGTAACAAACTAACGAAAGAACAAGAGCGACAAATAACAGATAAAAACAGGACAAAGCAAAATGTCAAGAAAAGAAAAAAAATAAACGAACACAAACAAACAAAACAGTTGATAATAAAATACACTTTGCTACAACATTTAAATATATTTACACTATCTTAGCACTGGGTTGTAATAAACAAAAGTGAAAACTAGTTACTATCTTATGTTCAGACTGGCTTCAGTGATGTTTGGATCTTGACTTATGTAAAGAGGTTAATCCTATAGAAGAATATCTCCTAAGATGAAACTGAAATTTAGAAGATGATTTTTAGAGGGAGGGAAAACCGGAGAACCGGAGAGCAGTGACGAGAGCCGAGCATTCTCACCACTACGCCACCAATGTTTCCCCTTTTAAAGTAGCTGCAAATAAGATGGAATTTTAGCTCAAGAGTTGCCAGATGTTACATCTTTGGCGAGTGTCGTCAATTTAAATTAAAATTTGTCCGCTTATTATCATTCTCCATAAAGTAGTTTAATTTGAATCAATTTCAAGTTTTATTTTGTCCATAGAAACAAGCACTGTAAATATTAATAACTTATCCATATTAATTAAATCCTTTAAACCGTTTAAGGCTTTCTGTCTTAAAGTAATCATGAAGCCTAATGAAAAACGCAAAAGAGCATGAATTTATTCTCTCTTGAAAACTCTCTTTAAACCATTTAAAGGCTTCTGTTTTAAAGTAATCATGAATCCTATTGAAAAACGCCAAGAGAGCGTAGATTTAGGCTTTCTTGAAAACGCGAAAAGAATTATTTGATAAGAATCAGAATGGCATCGGCTTGCCAAAATTTCCTGTCCAATCCGAAATCATTGCCAGAACATGATGACATTCCGGAAACTGACTTTGAATATACTTCGTTTTTCTATGCGGAATTTTCCTTATGTCTTTCATGTGGGATTCGGCGAGCTTCTAAGTAACAGACAAATCATATCTAGAACACAGTGTTAAGTGCTTTAGAATACGTTTCCCAATAAGTATTATGATAATGAAGTATTGAAAGCGCCGTTTATTTTATATACCAGTGTACTAGTTTACCGTGTCTGTACCTCTTCAGTTGTTCATCACGGTCACGGCCAAATTTTGGCTAGGCGTCGTGTCCGAGCATCAAAACAAATGCTGAGAAGCTGAAAGAAGTCAAAACTTTAAGTCGCTAAACTTATAGAGCTGAGTCTTCACACGAATACAGGTAGGGAATAATTATTGCGTCCCATTCTAATGGAATAAATCATTAATTAAAATGCACTTCTTGAAAATAAGGAAAAAAGGCACAAATGAAACCATCTATTTTACATTAAAACTACATATAAGCTAGCTATAATTTTATATTCAGCTTATATCATTGGAAGAGGTTAACTGGTATATGTTTTTCACGAGCTCGCGAGAAAAAAAATTAATGAAAGCCATATTTTTCAACTGCGTTTCATCTGTTTACTTGGCTGAGATCTTCCTTTATTTGCAAAAGAGAAGTCGTTTGCCTTTTGTCACTAGTTACATAATGAATGATAGATAATAGTAAAAGCCAAAATGAAAATGAAGATGTTTCCGATGCTGCTGAGATATAGACACCTCCTTATTAGAAGTAATGTTTCCCATTTTAGACCAAGTGTCATTCCCTAGAGTATCATTTCTTTGTTTAACGGTGGAGCAAAAGAAGACACATAAATATAGATAAAACTTAAACAAAGRATCTTATTCACAAGAGAATGACATTTGGCTGAAACCGGATAAAATTACCCCCCCAAAAGAGTACTATTCGTTTTGCCCATTTCAGGCCATGTGCCATTCGTTTGAGAATATGATTCTTTGTTTCAATTGCATCATAACAAGAAATGATACTCAAGGGAATGACACGTGGTCTGAAATTGGCAAAACATTACGTCCAAACTAAAGAGGTTTATTTCAAAGCGTTTATCTGTTTAGTATATTTGATTTTAATTTGAGCTTGGTTTTATTTTTTATTTTTTTATTTTTTGGATCCCATATGAATTAAATCTACCTTCATTTTTATGGAACTATAATATGCAAATATGGTCAAAGCTAAGCAAACTTGAAAAAGAATTGATCCACACAAGTGAAAACAGCTTGGTGACAGATAAGAGGACTAGAAAAATTCATACTTGTCTTAATGGAAAGCCGGTTGACAGTTGCCTTCAATTGTTGACAAAGTATAATGTTCTGAGTGTCTATCTAACTTCGGTTAAAAAACTCTTTCATTTTACGTATTAAGATCTGAAAAGCTGTTTCGTGTTTGAACAAAGAAAATATTTTTAGAGTTTTTATCTTACACATTACATGCAGACTGTTGAATTATCGACTGAACTACAAGAGTTTGAGAGAAAAATTTTAGGACATATGTAAGACTTTTTTGCCTCTTGTATTAATGGTGCTCCAATTCCGCTTTTATAAGCATTTTCACGTGAAAGGCTTTTAATTCTTTATAGAAGATATATAGAAGATAGAAACTAAGTTCTCCCTCGTGATAATGTTTGTATAGACCGCTTGCAGCACTTCGTAATGCAGCTCAATCTGGGGGGAAAAACAATAGGTTCCAATTCTCAGGAGATTGGAATTCTTTTGTTTTGTCCACCAGCTGGACAGCTATTTCAAAAAAGGTTGAAGGGAAGAACGGCGAATGGCGATCGGTTATCGGCAATTGGACGACCGAAAGGAACTATGGTCACATTATCACGAAGACATGAAGTGAATACCAACAGTGTCATTTCGAGATGTTAGGTCTTCGCTGAATAGTGCAGGCATTGTTTAGGTATTTAATGAAAATTATGACGCACAACGAGACTAAGACTGAGCAAAGAGAACTCGAAACTGGAGTATCATAAGCATTCATCCCAACACGACAAACTTGACTGGGCGTGAGAACAAGTGCAAAAAAAAAAAAAGCTTTTTCCTTTTAAAAAGAAAAATTTGTTGCATAACGTTAACGTTTTAGAACTGACTTTTCTATTTCGTGGGTTCCCGTCCTGTTAGTAATAAACGAAGAAAATTTGGGGCAAATCCCGACCAATACTATAAGGTATTTAAAAAACATCAAAATGTAAGATACTAATGGCTTTTGCTATGGAAATATAATGACACGCATGGCATCTTGAAATTGAAAGGATGGTTTGAACATAAAACTATGACGTAGTAGCAACGTAATAGAAATTTTCCTTGTTCAAGTTAGGTGATTTTAAGCACGTAAAGACTAGTATACTAGAAACACCGGTAGACAATGCAAAACGGCTCTTTCTTTCATTGGAAAACTGAGAAATCGTCATTCTTGGTTTGATTATACCATACGGCAAATCCTGACCCAAGTGAGTTTGTTATTATATTATATTACTTTATTATTATATTTTTTATTTATGTTATTTATGTTATTATTATATTTTACACATTAACTGAAATTTTTTTTCATGATTTGTCAAAATGCTGCCAGAGAATGGTATGAATTAGTAGCTTTTTTTAATCAAGGGTTGGTCCTTTTACTTGGCATATTCGAAGGAAGTATCTGTCATGTACCTCATTTGATCCGGGGTTGCATTGTCCGTGAGTACTCCGGCTCCTAGTTCCCGTTATTTAACTTCTTATACATGAACAAACATGTTTAAAGTTAAAATTACTGAAAAAAATTAAGGTTTTGTTTTAGCTATTATTATTATTTTGTTGTGTTTGCAGATGTCTTTTAAAATTACGACCGCCTCAAACTTAGCCGGCATCGCATCCGAACTTTTTCGCTATTTAGAAAAGTCCGAATGCAAGCCAGACTACCTCAAACTGCTGGACAAGTATAACACAAAAATAATTCTTCTTACTTCGTTCTCTTTTCATTTTAAGGTTTGTGACCAGACAAGTTTTGAGGTGCTGTACCTTATCTGTCTGGTCATAAACCGAACAACAAAGGAAAAATGAATGAAAAATGTCTTCCTAACACTGCAATTAAGATTATTAGTTTCTCCTTGCTTCACAGTCCTATTTTCTGTTTTATAAATAGTATTCTACTGAACTAATTACTTGTTTATTCTATTAGTTTTGATCGGTTTTGCACACTTTATTTATCTATGATTATTTTGAAAGATAATGATTTCGACATCTTATTCCACCGAAAAGGCCATATTGGCACTTGACACATCCTACTCATTATGCACCTGCTAATATACACAATGTGTTTGCTTTGCGCGCAAATGGTGGACGCGATAGCCTTTTTGATGCGTATGATAACCAGTTATCAGGAATCAAGGGGTGGTAGACACCAGACAAATGAACTGATGAGTCTTTGATAGTATGCAATTTACTTTCAGGATAGACAACTCCACACAGCAGTAAGAAAATCTCATTAAAGTCAGACTCGCTAAATCTCCTCTCAGCAACATCATGTCAAGAACCACTAATGAGTTTTTATTTTCTTGATCATGTTTTAGATAATACTGGCTGTACTGAAAACTCAATCCAATTGAAATGTCTTACAGTGTTTTCTCGATTCCTAGATAGCATCAGCCACTAGATGAACAGTACATTTTCATCGCATCGCTTCATTCAGACATGCAGCTGAACTGAGCCACTTATTTAGGGTAAGCACTTCTTCTTCAGATTCTGAATTAAAAGAGAAAATATAACGAAGCGCCGCGTTACGGAAAAGAAAAAAATTGCAATCACACGACGTCAATTTGAATTTAACAAACCATTCATCATTATTTTTCGGGTAAAAAGTAAAATTTTAAAGTAAGCATTTATAATTTATTATCTTATAAAACTAAGATACCATAATAGTGACTGAAAACATTGGTACTTGTTAATTATTCATGTCGTTATGCGAACAACAAATTTCTCAATAGACCGTTTTCTCAAGGTTGCGTGCGCATCCAAATTTAAAGAACTTGCCACGATAATAGAACACGAGTTTTTAGAGTGAGTATTATCATGCATTGCTATGAATTTTTTTTTCGATAAGGATTCAAAAAATCGATTATTCTTGTCTGTAAATATAAAACTGGCTTCTCGATCTTACTGAATTTCCGTTTCTTAGTTTTGTGGCCCGTCAAGATAGACGCGCACGCAACCTTGAGAAAACGGTCTATTAAATTTCATACTAACAACAAGAGATGAATGCGGAATCTTTTGGGGTTTAGCATCACCTGTTAATAAATGCACCAACTCCTTTATAAATATTTATTTATACTTTTTATATTATTATAAATATTTAACAATTAACTATCAATTCATTTAAGGCCAACACGCAGTTTTCATTTCCTCTAAAATTTTTACTTACTGCTTTCAGAACGATGTATTCGTAACTGTATAAGATAATATAATTACTTCATACAGTCAATGTCATTAACGTTGTCCACCGAAAAAAGACATTTACACATTTACACATTTAGACTAAAAGAAATATCACGTGTTTCCTATAACGTTCTGGCATAAAACAAACGCTGAAATACAATTCTCCATCTTAAATCCTCACTAAATGGTCGGGGCATTCTGGATTTTCGATTTACGAGTTGAATTTTACATTAAAAGTTCAGGCTCACTTTAGTCTAAATGTGCAACTGTGCAACTGTGTAAATGTCTTTTTTCGGTGGACAACGTTAATGACATTGACTGTATCTCTTTTTTGAGGCGCGTCAGGTTCACTAGCTGACAACTTACAAACTTACTATATTTTATATTATCGCAAACTATATTCAATTTCTAATCAATAAATCATTTATATGACTGTTTATAACAATATATAGATATATATTTATAACACAGTATTTACTGGTCTCCAAACCATACAAATTATAAGTTTAGACATGTTTCAATGCTGAAATGGTATCTCGATATCTATTATATAAGAAATGGAATGAGACCAACAAAGTCTATCATCACCTGTTAAGAAGACTGATAGGAGATAATACATGAAGACTTCTGTCGATTAATAATGGTAATAGGACTGAGTGGATCAGTTCCAATTCGGTCTCTGTAATCATAAGAGTGATTAACAAAATTGGACGAATGCGATAGCGGGAGTATCATGAGTATAATTACAGACTGAATTGGACAACACGACTGAAGTTCAATTAATCATTACTATTACGCGGATCTCCTTAAATCTGATTGGTTGACAAAATACTCTATTTTCCACTAATCAATCTGGTAGATGTAATTGGCTACGTTGGTTGTACTTGAACACCTTTAATCGGACAGTTTCATAGGCCAATAATATTGCTCTTTCATCTCATTCCTGATCAACCAATAAGCATCAAGTATATGTAAACAAGCATGTGATGGCGATATTTTTGAATTCCGACTTCCGAAACAAGCTTAAACAGACTTCTTGCCCAGAGGAGCACAAAGGACCGACAGAATTTTACCCCTGGGTTCCCGAGGATGAGAGGGCTTACTAATAGAAACGCTGTCTTTCCCACAGTAATTTTTATTTTATTTTTAACTTCTTTTATTTTATATTTGTAGTACAGTCAGCATGGTGACGACGGTTCAAATATTACTCAGAGTCCTAGAAATTGTTTGGGGCTTGTCAATCAAAGTCCAGTGTGATAACATCCATCTTGGAATTCTGATTCCCATTGATCACGGGACATGGAAAGTTGGGAAAGAAATAATCCCCATTATTGGTCGAGCAATACAAGAAGTAAATAACAGAGGAATTCTCCCTGGTTACAACATCACATACACACTGAAAGATAGTAAGTGTAGTTCTAATACGGCACCTGGAATAACCGCTGACCTAATGAACTCGAAGACCAAAGTCAATACTTACATAGGACCGGGATGCTCTGCGGCATGTTTAAGCGCGGGACTACTGGCTCACTATTGGAACGTGCCAATGATTTCATTCTCCTGTTCCTCTTCCTCCTTAATGAATCGAAAAAAATATTCCACGTTTGCACGAACCCAACCATTCAGCAGAACGTACTCTGGTGTCACACCCGTCGCTCTGTTGAAGATCATGCAGCACTATCGGTGGAAAAGAGTTGCTATCATTGCGCCATATGGGTACAAAGGAGACACTATATGGGAACCCATTGCAAATTCTGTCAGAAGCCATTTTTTGACAAATAACATAACCGTGCCATACTACAAGGCGCCGTATGTGTCGGGATACGATGACGTTGCTCAGAACTCAAGAAAACAGATGCTAATGACAGCTAAATCTCAAGCAAGAGGTTTGTTATTAATCTATTTATATCAGTATTATACCTTATATTTTACAACCACCATTCCCTATATGGGCCTCTTCCATGAGGCTGTCTACTACACACGCACTGCCACACGGACACACGGAGGGAGGAAAACACTCGTGGCAAGAGAGAGAACAACTCACCAAGAACAAAAAATGAACTCGCATATGCGGTTAAGGCGAGAATCGAACCCGCAATCCCAGGCTGTTGCAGTGCATGCCTCCCATGTCACCCATGCCAAATTTAGTTTTAGAAAAGATTTTCACAACAATTTCGAGACATTTGCTTCGTGCAACATCCCTCGTGCTACGTTCCTTGCGAGGATTAAAATTAAAGGGCCAAAACTCAGACACGTGATACTGAGTAAAGGAATATAAGACTCGAGAACCTCACCAGTGACCTTCGATCTACCAACAACTAAAAACAGTGCCTTGTATATCAAGGCTCTTAGTCATAATCATTACTATCAGCATCATTTAAGTCATACTAGTGCTGTGAAGCAGTGATGCAGCCTTCAACATCAGCACCATCAATGCTGCGCCTTTGTTCTTCATTGTTCAGTTTGATTATGCACTAGCTGTTTTTTCTCCTAGTAATTTTCGTACTAGCAAATAGGGAACAAGTATCGTCTTTGCTCCTGCTGGCGAAAGAATTGAACATGTTCAATGGCAATTATGCCTTCATCACGCTTGACTTCTACGTTTCATCCAATCTGAAGAAAACGATCACTAATAGAAATCCTGAAATAACTAATGATGAGATTATGAAGGCTTTCAATGGAATAATTACCCTAACGGTAAAGAGTCCCTCAAAGGATGAATTCAAGGAGACTTCCAAATGGTTGACAGAAAGAATGACTCTTGATCCAAGCAATCCAAATGCTGTGGCCAGTGCATCGGTAACTATCTGAGGCATACCGACCTCTTTAGCTTGGACGTAATGTTTTCCCATTTAAGACCATATGTCATTCTTTAGGCAATAACATTGGTTGAATTGTATTCATATTCATTTGTCTTCCCATGCGCAACCGTAAACTGTTTTTCTTTTTCTTTCTTCTTCCCTTCAGGCTGTGAATACAGCTCCCTATCTACACGACGCAATACTTTTGTATTCTTATGCTCTTAATCGAACACTTCAGGATGGTAAAGACATCAATAATGGAAGGACTTTATTTTCCCGAATGAGGTCGAAGTCACCTCTTTTCACAGGTAAAACTACAAAAAGAAAGAAAAAAGAAGCGAACGAACGAAAAAGAAGAATATTCCTTTTAGTCTACGATACATATTTCCTGGTTCGATTGCCATTTTGGAACCTCTTTGTAAAATCTTTGATCCGTGACTGAGTAGTAATTAGTAGTTAATATACGGTAATCTATATCATTTTAGGTATGTCCGGGCCGGTAACAATAGACAACAAAGGTAATCGAGTTCCTACATTCGTTGTTGAAAATGTCCTTATCAACGACACCAAACCACTAATGGAACTATGGTCCAATGGCACCATTCAAGAGGTATTTAAAGTTGACACGGTATGGCCAGGGGGAGGAACGACCAGGCCAGATGATAACCCTGAGTGCGTTTTTATTAAATGCCCTTTACCTGGTAAGTTGAGGATTTTTAAAACATCCGATTTCAATTTTTTCTGTCGTCTGTCATCAAAGTTACACATGGCTAATTTTCCGAGGCTGGTCGTGACTAAATGACACAACACGAGGTTAGCTACGTGCGAAGATAAGCTTGAGTTTTGAGTTCAGAAATGGTTTCTCATTGTTTGATTACACTAATTCCGTACAAACTGAATATGCGTAACGCAGCTTTTACTTAGCTCCAGCATTTTTCCAGCTGTAACAACAAGGCTCAGAGGAGAACCGTCATCCGTGCTTGCGCAGAACATACGCATTTTATACTGCTTTTCAATGCAAGCATTTTTCTCGTGTTAATTCGTGAGAAATTACGTATGTAATTGTATAACAGAACAGTTTTGTATGCCTGTGAAAAGCACACCATGCACTAACATGTTCGTGACACGGCAAAGGATACGCGAGACCAATCACATTGCACAAGAATTTAACTCTTCATTCAATCAAAAACCTTGAACACGGCATAAACACAGCGTGGACACGGTCATTGCGCGAGAAAAAAATCAGCCAATTAAAGTTCTAGAAAGCAATACGGTACTAAGCTTGCATGCTCTATAAGCGATACACTGCGTAGCATATCGGAGTTGCGTGGAAAGAGTTTCTCGTATTTATCTTGATCAGGCGACCGGAGAGGCAAACACAAAATGATGAACAATAAATTAGGGGGAGAGAGGTTAAGAAATTGATGATTTAACGAATTCTAATTTACTTTTAGAAGAGGGTCATTTGGTGCGAAACTCAATCATAACCGCCATGGTAGTGATATCTGTGCTGTTCGCCTTTGTCCTTTTGTTTTACTACAGGTTAGTTTAGTAATCGAAAAACTATTTCCGCGACCCTTAGTTTTGAACGGCTGTGCAATACTTAAAAAGGCCTGCATGCTTTTTTAAGCAATAAATGAACTAAGTTCTCTGGTGCTTTTTACCTTGTTTACATTAATATCTAATGTACTACTTATGTACGGCTTCTTACTGCTGTTGATGATTTCTGGAAGACAAACTGTATTTCTTGATGTTTTGGGTACTGATTTTGCTACTGACTAGATGGGTATGCGTCTGGAGACGTTCAAACCTGTCCAAAAGTTTCCTAAATTGTATTAGTGCAATACCTTATACTTACGGTGATCATATCGCTTTCATAGAAAGAGAAAATACGAAGAAGACCTTTTCAGTAAAACCTGGATCATAAGTTCCAAAGATATTACTCCTGCAGACTTGGACGTTCGATTTGCAAGCAAGGTAAGTAGTTAACATATCATTCAATGACAAAAACCAGTTTTCTTATGACTTTAAGAATATTGATTTGTTTACTGCTCACTTAAACTCCGGTACTATACTCTTACAACTAAGGCACTTGCCTTGATTTGAGTTTTGCCAGGGAGGGGGTTTACAGAGCTAAAACGAAATCTGCTACTTGGGCTTCCTGTGATAGATCTGTTGGATGTTAGTTGGCTTTCATTGTGAAAATATTGGCCAGGCATTCGGTGTTCTATTAACTGCCTTTTAATTTGTCCCTTAAGTCTGTCTAGTATCTATTTTATCATTTTATCAATTTGTGAATTTAAACTCATCTGGTTTTATCTTGAAGATAGTACCAGAATTATCTGATCTATGAATATGTTTACAGGTGATCAGGAATCACTATGACGCCCCATCAAGATGGTCAAGAATGACGGAACACAATCCCCCTGGTGCATTAACTTCTTATTTCGGACGATACAAGGTAATCCCATCCAGGGGACAACCCTGTCAACTTGGCCTAAAAACCGATAAGATATATTTTGTATTAGGGGGGCTAACGACCGCCGAAGGCGGGAGCAACTAGGGGAGTCCGGGGGCATGAACCCCTGGAAATTTTGAAATCACGACTCTCAGAAATGCGATTTCCAGCATTCTGAGGGACATTGGGAACATATTTTTTTGCACTAAATTTATGGAAATGTTGCGCAAAACTCAAGATGACGGCAAAATGTTTGGAGGGACTACAGCCCCCCAGCCCCCTCTGCTCCGCGGTCCCTGAGTAAGGCGATTACATTTTGATTGGAGATAGCATTCTCCTTAAAGAGACATTTCTTGGCTGCGCAAATACCTCTTGCAAATCTACAAAATCTAAACTTAGGATTTAGTCGCCAGTAAATTAAGGGAATTAAAACTGTCCAATTATACGATATTATACCGAGAGCTATTTAACAATACAATTGCCTCTCGTATTTTAGGATGAATTTGTGGCGTTAAAGCGACTGAGAAAGGATACATTAAATTTGACACGTAATATGCTCATTGAGATGAAACAGGTCTGTATATATGAAATGTATTTTTGTCACTCGGTAAAGATCTATATGTTAAGTGTATRCTACATCGAGTGYATAAGCAGATTAAAAAATCTGCCTCAGTTGGGATCTCATCATCATTATTGTCAACATGATCTTTATGAATTCTACTCACCATCACGTGACTAGTACTGTCAAACAGTGGTGCAGTCTTCACCATCAGCATGATTAATGCTTCGCATTTGTTTTTCGTTGTTCAGTTTGATTATACACGCTGGTTTGAATAAAATCATACATATATATTATTTAATGATCGGTGGCCTGAGGATGGGGACCTTATCTTTCAGCTTGCGTGCTTTATGAGAGCACTCAGCACGCGTGCGCACTTTCAGTCGCGTCATTCCTATTCAAAATAACGGATTTTGCAATCGATAAAAAACTTGCCGAGCTGTGTGCAGTCATAAAGCACGCGAGGATTGGCAGAACACTCTCCCAACGCTTCTCTCGTGTGGCATGTTCTGCCAATCCCAGTGTGCTGATGCCAGCCATTTTTGGATGCATTGTTTAGTTTATTTTACCATATTGTTTTACTAGGTGCGTGATATCGTTCACGTCAACTTGATCCAGTACATTGGAGTGTGTTTAGAGCCTTCTAACATATTCATCGTATCACAGTACTGCCATAGAGGAAGCCTGCAGGTAATCCGTGCTCTGTGCATTCAGTGTGGAATATCCACGGCAAAAATAATACAGTCTATAATAGCAGACATTGCAAAAGCTGCTTTACTTCATGCTTATCTGATAGCACTGCTATAGAAGGAGACATTAACAACTTATTGCTAATTAATTGCCTACTAACTGACCTTTATCTTTAAGGAAATACTTGCCAATGATGACATTAAACTTGATTGGTTTTTCCGCGCTTCCTTCGCAAACGACATTTGTATGGTAAGACATACCTATATAGCTCTGATATAGGGGAATCCGGAACGTATGCTTTATATTTATATCTATTTACTGAAAGATTTGCTCAAAGGAAGGTGAAGAATACAGTAGGACACTTGGTCTCCTACTAGGTACTAAACACCTAAATATCCCATCCTAGTCCCAATATAAGAACTATTAACCTAACCCGATATGTTCAAAAGTATTGCAGTGCGATATAACACGAATCACATCCTAGAAAAAGGAAGTGTTATAGATGCTTATTAATATTAAAGATTCCTCCATCTCAACGCGCGATGAAAACTTCAACCAAAAAATTCTTCTCCAGCGTTATCCAGTAAAAAAACTATATGCCGTGTTTGAATCGCCTTTATCCGAGTTCCCTTGGTCGCACAAGAATGGAACCAAAAACATTTCCTTCAATACTTCCGACTTCCGACAAATTATACTTGAAAGGAGGATCAATTTTAGGCTGTTTCATCTTTTCTGCATTATCGCAAAGCAAAACCAAGTCATCTTTTCTCTTTCTCTTCCCTCCCTCACTCAAGGGAATCCCTCTTTATTTCAAATAGTCCTTCAAGACATCTACATTTAAGCTCCGAACATCTCTGACACCGTCGACATCACATTCGTGCTAGTTTTCGTTTCCATTCCTGCCCGACCAAGGGAATTCGGAAAAGGTCGATTCAGGTGAATTTTTTTTCTTATGACAGGGAATGAAGACCCTTCATGCTAGTCCTATCCACTTACATGGTAGTCTTCGCTCATCCAATTGCTTGATTGACAATCGATGGGTATGTAAGATTGCAGACTATGGACTTAAACTTATAAAAGCAAACCAAAAGAAGGACCTTGAGACTGGAAATCATGCATCCTTTGCAAGTATGTGAAAACATTGTCATAACACGTTGATTAGATAAGTGGCATAATTATTACAGGGTTCGTGCTACATTTTCGTTTCAAAATTTAAGGACTTTTTAAGCACTTTTCAAGCACAAAAATTCGATTTTTAAGGACAAAGTTTTTTGTATTAGAACGTGGTTTAAACATTGATTCAATGTTACAGTGCAGCTAATTCAGCCGGGGCCACGTCCACCAATAAAAAACGATCATGACACGCAACCAACCAATAAACAAGCAACCAGAAACTCTTCAATCAATTTTAATCGTTATTTATTTTAAAAGGTAAGTTAGAAATAGCATTAAGTTTGTATTAAATTCAAGGAATTTTGGCGTCTTCCCCTATTTTCAAGGGCTGTTCAAGCGCCCTTAAAAACGTGTTTTCAATTCAAGGACTTTTCAAGGATTTCAAGGAGTAGCACGAACCCTGTTATTAAAACATTTGGTATAATAATGTTGAAGTAAGTAATAAACAGGGCAGAGGAATAATTTTTTTTAATGAATATGAAGAACAACAGCGGCAACGGCAGTAACGACAACATCAACGATAGCGACAATTAATATAAAATTATCAACAGATGACAGCGAAGGGGATAACTGCTTGAAATTAAATATTTTTCTCTTTCCAGCTAAATGTGAAAAAGTTAAACATACTATACAACTAATTCTTTACCTTCCTTTTCTTAACGTCACAGAGCTATTTTGGAAAGCACCAGAATTACTGTATGGCAGCACCACTAACAAAGATAAAAAGCCTCTCTCCACTCAATGTGGAGATGTCTACAGCTATGGCATAATACTGTATGAACTTTTGACAAGGGAGGAACCTTACTCCGCCGTCGATTTGTCTCCTCGTGGTAAGATTTTACATATAGAGCGGTACACAAGTCTATATCAAGAGTTTTGGATGGTCAGTGTGTTTAGTTTTGTATCGCGACTCAATTAAAATGCAATATATGTTGCGATAGCCATCAGTCGAGCATTATACATGTAATTAGCTGCGATTTTCAATATTGTGCATGTTGGGCTGATTGACGGCCAACAGTGCAAGATCTACCAAGTGATTGTGTTTTTGAACGGCAGCAAAAAAAGACAAATTAACATACAGGAATTGAAGTAGAACGGTCGGTTTCAGTGATATCGAAAATTGCAATATCTGTTTCCAATAACTCCAGTGATCCTAAAATATAAGAGACTCTTGGAATACGAGATGACGCCACAATTCAGAATTCAACAAGAGCGGTTTCATATCCTTGGAATGGATTCTTCGTTTGCACGTTACGTCATCGTGGCCAGGCTGGTACCATCTAACAAGAGATTAGCATCCACTGTTAACGGTGCCACAATAGCCGCCATGTTTTTGTCTTTTACCTCTCTTGGGAATGTTTGCAACCCATCAATTGGGAAGTCATCAACGCGAGTTCTATTTTTTCTTTATTATGATTACTTTTTTCGTTTTTTTTTATTTTTCTTATTTCAAAGATGTCATAGCTCGAGTCTGTAGTCGATCATTTCCACCATTTCGGCCCTCCGTTCCACAAGACATCACAAACATCCCCATGATTAACCTGATGAAACTTTGTTGGGATGATGATCCTCAAGTAAGACCATCTTTCAACGAGATAAACAGGCGACTAAAAGAAATGCATAAAGGAAAGTACGTACCTTTTTTTAAATAAAAGTGAAATAATATTTAAAAAAAAGTTTTTTGTGCTTATAAAAGCAAATAAAAGCAGATAAATATTCCTAACTTTAATACACTTGTTAAGCCCGGCTCGCACTAGCGACATGTTAGCATAAGCATGAACATTATTTTGATCTCCGAAACCACTTGAACGAACCGAATTTAATCCAAAAATCTCAGACTATGTAAACACGTGGGAGCTGACAAAATTTGTGATTTGATTGATTATAGGCATTCTATAGTAGACAACATGTTACGTTTAATGGAAAACTATACCGACCAATTAGAAACGATTGTGGAAGAAAGAACACGACAGTTAGCAGAGGAAAAGAAGAAAACCGATGAGCTACTCTACAAAATGTTACCAAGGTATGCGTAATGAATAGAAATTAAACTGAAAAGAAAGCAAGCAAAGAAAAAAAGAAAGAAAGGGGAAAGACAACGAATGAAGGGATAAAATGATTAAGCAAAGAAAGGAAAAGAAAAAGCAAGGAAAGAAGAAAAGGAAAGAAAGGACAAGAAAAAGCAAGGGAAAAAAAATAAAGAAAGACATAAAGAAATTACAATTAAGTTGTGAAATAAAAGTGTGTAACCAATAAAATCATACATTATTGTTAGGCCTATAGCTGAATCTCTAAAGAATGGACAGCCAGTACTAGCAGAGAGTTATAAATCAGTCACGATATTCTTTAGTGATATAGTTGGATTCACAGCTCTTGCTGCCGCAAGCACGCCTTTACAGGTAAGACTATCAATGCTACAACTGTTAATTTCAAATGACGTCCGTTTTCATTTCTTAAGATTATCACTCAATCTTTTAATTATTGTAATTTAAAGGTCGTCCATTTCTTAAATGATTTATACATTGCCTTCGACACCATTATAGACTCACATAACGTTTATAAGGTAAGGCTTATAGACTTGAAGTTAATCCATGAACTAATGATACGGCTGCGCGGTACTGTGTGGATGGGGTTTGACAGATAACTGACAATTCGTCTCATAGGAACGTTTGAATAGCAACGTTATAACAGCAATATAAAAATTATAAAGCATGCAAGCAAGCAAGCGAGCAAGCGAACAAGCAAGCAAGCAAAAAAGCAAGAAAACAAAAGAATATAAAAACTTGAAAATTATAGAAATAGTTGAATGACCTAACCTGACTAGTTTGTAGTGACGTTGTTCTATTATATGAGCTTTTAATTTATCTATCATGTATCTAAAGGTTGAAACGATAGGCGATGCCTATATGGTCGTGTCCGGTCTTCCCGTTCCCAATGGCAACAAGCATGCAGAAGAAATAGCCAACATGGCGCTCAACCTCTTGGAATGCTCAAAGAGTTTTAAAATAAGACATTTTGAAAGTAGACAGTTGCAGCTACGAATAGGGATGCATACAGGTGAGAGAAAAGACAAAAAAAATCTTAAAACTTTCTGTAATAACTCACGTTTGCAATTAAAAATAGCTCAAAATGTACTACCCATTTTCTAAATTAGTATGCAAGAATTCAATAAAGCTTACTTGTATAATATTCTTCGTAAAGAATAGTCTGTCTTATCGCACAGTTCACTGGCAGCATGGAAAATAGTCGACAACGGGAAGTGGACACTATTAGATTTATAATTAGCTCACCTTCAGTGTTTTGGTCTCTTAGTCTATTATGAGTACTAAAACTGCCATTTTATCGTTTTGGTCGACATGCGAGACATTCCTTCATGTTGGACGAAGCTTGGAAAGTCCCTGCAAATGTTGTAATTCAACTTTTTCCGTCAAACTTTTTTAACGGTGTAGAGCACTGAATAAAAGCTTTACATTTTTACTTACTTTTTCCGATTTCAAATGTTGAACTTGTCCAAATAAAACCAAAAAATCTGCTGTGATTTTTTTAAAGATTTCAACACACGTCCTGACAGATGCAGTTCTTCCCGCGCTTTGTGACGCGTCTGCGCGAGCTCACGTCATCACCTTACGTAAAGTGACGTAAAAATCATAAAACGCAAAAAAGTGCATGTTTCCTAAGAAGGAAATAAATTGAAAAAGAAAAAGAAGAAATAAAAAAAGAAAGAAAAAGAGAAGAGAAGAAACGAGAAGCAAACAGAGAAAAACATTGCATAAAATAACTTAACTAATTACACTACCTAAATCATGAGCTACGGTTGTTTTTTAAGCTTTTTCAAGGGAAAATTTTATAATCAAAAGCCTACATTATGATGCATATATCATATGATTGCAGGTCCTTGTGTAGCCGGGGTGGTAGGGATAAAGATGCCTCGTTACTGTTTGTTTGGGGATACGGTAAACTATGCGTCAAGAATGGAATCAAATGGAGTTGGTAGGTGTGGTAGTGCCATCGTATGACCTTGTACTTAAATCTAGTGAATGTATGTTATCTAAAAAAAGGATATTTAGAAGTGGAATTGAAGGATAGTATCTCTGATAAAAGGAAAACCTGAATGTGTATTTGATTGTGCTCTTTCTCGTCTTGTGCTGCGCGCCTTTGTCGCCGTGATATTTTTCCCCTTCCCCCTCCCCCCTAGTACCAATTTTTCTCAAACATATTGTATTCGATACTAAAAGTTGATCAATCAGTTTTGCGGATGTCGGAAAACCGGAGAACTTGGAGGGAAAACCCCCAAAAAGAACACTTAAGAACCAACAAGTAACTCTAGTCACATGTAAGATGGACTCGAACTCAAATTTGGATCTCCCTTTTGACTTGAATTACTTTTTCAGCCAATAGGATTCACGTTAGTACTGAGTGCAAGAAAGCTCTAGATGTTATTGGTGGATGGCAGTTTGAGGAAAGAGGATATATAGAAATAAAGGTACTTGTCTTGGCCTTTTTTGCAAGGGTCTTGCTTTCTCTTGTTTTGCAGCTAGGTGCAATGATCATTGAAGGTACGGTGTGTTACTGCATCAATAGTGGGTGCTCACTTTTCTTTGCAGGGTGTGCATGCTATGCAGTAATTCTTGCTTATTTTGCATTAGGAATAGCACCCTGGGTTACAAAGGGAATAGTTACTCATGGCTCTAAGAATGAAAATTGATAAGAATGACAACATTTGCTAAGACAAAGGTTTTTTTGTTGACACACCCCTTTTAACAGCAGTAACACCTGTGTTGTAATTTTGCAATAATTTGTTTTCAATTGTTGCTAGAGTAGAAATTAATCATTATGAAAAGATTACTATAATACTTGAATAACCTTAATTATTTTTCTTATTTCCTATATAGGGTAAAGGCACAGTTTTTACTTACTTCTTGGATGGCAAAGAATTGGGAGAGCATAAAATTAATAAGAGATGATATAATTAATATGCTCAATAAAAATAAAGATAGCAAAAAAATAATTTATATATTATTCTATTAGTTAACTTTATCTCCAAAAGAGCAAAGTTATAATTAATTATACATCTTAGCTGAGAGCTTCATCTATTTTTATTTACAAGTTTTTTTTTGGAAGCTAATCAGTAACCAATTTTCTCTGAAAAAAACAAACAATTTAGAATACTCAAGGAGCCACTATGAAAATTCTGGTCCAATAGGGGCCACAAGGAGTTTAAGTTTTGAGTGTGTTTGTATGTACATATGTGTATGTTGGGGGGTGGGGGGGCTGCGTATTTTATCCAGGTATGGGAGAATCCCCCCCCCTCCATCCACCCATACACACAAACTTGGAAATGTGATTTGCACTAATGTTTCATAGGCAATTCCAACATTTATTGTATTAATGCATGTGAAAGTATTACCCAACTCACGGTCGCTCATGGTCACTCAACAAAAAATCTTTATTGGTGCCGACCAGAGGTCCTTGTCTGTCCCAGTGCAATACAAAAAAATCACAAATGAATTAAAATTAACACAAGTTTGCCATTCGCTGATGAAGGTTTTAGTATGCAACTGAAACATCCTATTATAACTTTATTATTATTTGATCAATGCCAACTAATAATTTCCTGATTTCATATCATAACATAAGTTTTCTATGTAACTTTTTATAATTTTAAAGGTGTTTTGAAAGAAATCATAATCAAAAAAATATGCAAATTTTAGATGCCCCACATATGCCCCATATGATCAGATCATGCTGGAAGAAAAATGGAGCTTAGAAAAAACGAAAAAGGAGATAAGACATATAGCTCAGAAAGACACCATTAGACTATTTTTTATAAAACCCCAGAACTTATAATTTTATGCATTGATAAAAATTAAAATGTGAAGTAAAAAATATGAATAGAACTAAAGCTTTTTATGTAAATTACTTGTTGTTGTCTCGTCAATTTGTAACGCCCTACCCCCCTCCCCTTATAAGTAGTGTTACCACCATTAAGTCGAGGCTAGCCATCTTTTGGCGGATCACTCGAAGGAGCAAGGAGAAGTAGCGGCCATATTTTGGAAAATCAAGCGCAAAATGAGTGGTGAAAATGAACCCATGGACAAACCGCAGGTAAACCATTGATAGATATATTGACTCTCGACTATATTGTGTTCTTGAAATGCTGTTTAATTTGAAATTTCAGTTGACAGAGGAGGAAAAATTCAAGGCAAAGTTTCCAAATCGAAAGCCAAATACAACAGACTTGATGAGAAAAAGACTACAAAAAGGAGGGGTTAGTTGACACTTAATTGCACCTATGTGTCCTGTTTTTGCTAAAAGTTCTTTCTAAACTAGTTCTTAAAAGTAATAAGTTTGTTTTCTTAGGTTAAATACTTCGATTCTGGTGATTACGCTATGGCAAAGAGCACCGAAAAGAAAGGCCCCATTGCTAAACCAAGACCAAACGTCGACGTCTTAGGGGTCGGAAGAGGAATACCAACTCCAGATAAGATTCCCCATCGAAAAACATCAGTACCTAGTAAGTTGGTGGAAGGACAAGCTCATGTTGAGGTCTCCCACTGAAATTTTTGTTCTTTGGTAAAAGCATTTTGCGAACAAAACTTAAAAAGTTTATGTACGCTGTATTCTATTCGATCGAGAGCGAGTCCATTTCATTGAAATGAACCTAAAAGTGGTCACTAACCATCATATGACATGACATTAATACGAAGTATTTTTAAGTAATACTGAGGATATACCGTTTAAAGATGACGTTCTTAGGAACAGATATGCATTGAGAATATTTTTACATTGCATAGCAAAAATAGTTGCTCCGTAGTATAATGACACAGTCTACAGTGGATTGCGTTATTGTCAAGTTGCTTACGAGTTCACAAAGTCAAATCTTTAAGATCAATTTGATAATAGTGCTTGAAATTTAAATATTGGATGATAAAATGTATATATAGAAAATATACATTTCCTCGTCCTTCTGCAATAATCATAGATATTAAACATGACACTTGTTTGCTCAAACATTGCTTAGCTATCGTCATTGTTTAGATATATAGGTTGGCTTTTCGTTCAAAACTTACTGTCTGCGCTTTGAAAAACTATTACAAAGAAAAAATATTTTCCGATATATCCTAATATTTTGTTGGGTCCTGTTGTATACCAAGTCACCCAATCGAAAAGCTACATATGTTTGCAAATCTCAAATCCTTTCTATTGTACGGTAGCAGAAATTTATAGTGCTTGGCAAAGGAAATGGTTCATGACACTTAAACTGGTTCCCATATGTTGGCGACATGCTTGCGAAGCCACTCCAGGTACTACCTGGGACTCCTATCTGACAATGGAAATCTAATACTGCATTAATACTGCACTAATATTGCATTAATCATGGAGGCTGAAACATCGCAGGCAGACTGTTGATTTCCATATTCATCTTGCATCACAGGCAAATGGGGGACAATCCCAAGTATGCTGCCATTTATGTCCCTATATTTTACCTAATAGGCAAATTGGTAACACCACTGACATGGTGTAAGACTGGAACTGAATTAACAGTCTGCAATGATGGTGACAAAGTGTTTTGATCATTGAAATGTTGTCCCAGGCATTACCTACAGTGGCATTGTAGGTGTGTCACCAACTTATGGGTGGGAACTAGGCTTAATATGTAAACTTCAGGTGTTAGGATTTTAAGAAGAATGAAAGTGTTATTGGTTTGATCGACAGCTAGAATGCATTATTCAATCATTTAAGAATTGTATATAAATGTGTATATATTTTAAAGTTATGCAGTTAATAAAAAGTTTATCAATCTTTTCCAATCTTTTTGTATTCATTTACTTTCAAATATAGAAAGAGCTAAACACCATTTGTTGATAATAATTTGGCTATACTAATAATCAAAGTATGTTCAATTCATATTCATGCAAGATAAGTGCCATGTTTTTCCTTAAATTTGTTAAAATTTGATACACACTGGTTAAACATGTCTTTGATTTGTTTTTTAATAGTGCTAATCACTTTGTACTAATGATTCTACTAGCATTAACTCTAGTTTAGTTAGAAGTTGCTAAAATATGATAAAAATAATATAAAGATAAATGTTGTTAATGTTAAACATTAATCATGTGCAATACTAATTGTTTTGAATGTTACTTTGATTATTGCAGTTCAAGAACATGGCGTCCAAAGTTCGACACACCCTGAACACCCACACACAAGTTGAAAATAAAACCCATCCATTCTCCACTTTTAACAAAACAAAATTAAAAGTTCTTCAAGCAAAGGGGTCTTAGACAAAATGTTCTGGCTGTTGCAGATGCTGTATGTAAAGCTTTGTTAATACTAGTGCCAGTGCTCTGTCAGTGTTGCTGTATATGACCAAACCAGTTTGAAATTCATTGGTTGAATTTGAAAACTTAATGGGCCACAAAGTAATGAGTCCTAAGATATTGTGCAGCATGTTTGAGGGCTATTCATTCTTATGGCACCACAAAAACTTTGAGACTTTATTGCTTTTGTCAATCAATTAAAATAGTAATTCAAACCATTATAAATGTTATGGTTGAAATCCAAAAATATGCAATAAAATGAATAATATCTTGAGTTGCAAGAAATTAAAATATTTTTATAGTAAAATCACTGAAAAACTTTCTGCATTGTATTTGCTTTATTCCTGTTCTCACAATTTGTGACCCAGTAGGTTTTTTTTAAATTTAGAGGACTGTATGTTTGCATGACCATGATACAAATTGTTCATTTAGGTCTACCCTACTTGCTTGGTTACTTCTGAGGATACAATTTTTGCTGGACATTTCTAGCACTAAAATTTTGCCTTTGATTAATGCAGTATTTCATTGTTTAATGCATCCATTGGGGGTTGAAAATGCTGTGTAATCTAAAATGGTAAAGCATTAGACCCAAGGTACCACAGTTTTTCATGGCTAAGCACTGGTCAAGACATCAGTTGTGACATGGAAATTGGGCAATAGACTGCTGTCAATCAGAGTATGTAAATGTACTCAATAGGCCCTTTGCAGCTAAGCAATCACGTGCTGATTAATTCACTGAGAGCAAATGAATGAACATCTTGATTCCAATGGGTGTCACGTGTCTGTACTGGAATGCAAACAAACTTTCTACAACCTATTTCGAGAGATCATAATAAAACTACATTTTGTAACACACTGGATACACATGTATTCATTCAGTTCTTTACAAGTAGCTACACAGAATCACCAATTTGATATAAAAACAAAACGTTTGCATTCCAGTACAGACACGTGACTGTTAACTGCAAAGGGCCTATTTTATAATAATTTTATTGACAGTAGTCTATTTTGATGCTCCCACTGTTTTCTAGATCAGTGTGTAGCATTACCAATAGTGGTAAATTTAGATTATTAGATCTTGTTTCATAGGTTAAAGAGAATCAATGTACTGGGGTATTATACTTTTGCTTCATGTATCACTTTGATCAAAATAATGTTGAATGATAAACAGTAAAAGGCAGATAAGCCTCCCTTTATTTAATGAATGTTTTCATTGATGCTTTTGTAAAACGTTTGTATTAATCATTCTTTAAAACATCAAATATATTGAAAAGATGGATTTGTGAAATATGTCAAATAATATTTATATGTGGAACTAAATATAATTGATATATATATTATTTTTGATCAGTTAAACTTTAAATTGTCCTGCCATGGTAACATGGTAACTAGTTGACTGCATGAAATGTTTAAAAAATAGTACTCAACTGTTAATTTTATTAATATAATTACAAACAAGACTTAAAGATGACGATTAGTAAATTTTGTAAAGCAAGTTTCTTTATTCATTGCCAATTTTCAGTTACATTTACATGATGTTTCAAGTAATTTACAGTATGTTTACTCAAAGACTATTTTGCAAATACAATTGTTGCAAAATGTTGGGTTATATTTAATAAACTGTAAAATAGTCACCACAAAAATAATTGATACTAGTATTTCATCCTGTCACAAAGTAAATATGTAACATTGCCCCAGGTTACTTATTGGCATTTGAAGGAAAATGCCTGAGCATAATTTTGATTGGAAGAACACCTAGGGGAGTTCGGAGGCATGCCTCCCTGTGAATTTTTGAAATTAAGACCCTTTGAAATGCAATTTCCAGTGTTTTGAGAGGCATTTGCAACATGTAAATGTGTGGTCATCTTGACATCTCCCTTGGCCTAGACGACTGGCATTGGTTTTTGTCTGAAATAAATATTGGGCAAAAAGAATACTAATGAACTGCTGCCATGTTTGTTAGTCTTTGTTGGTTTAGAGAACTTGAACTTTGAACTTTAGTTTATTTACACAGATTGATAGATATGCAAATATTACAAAGATATTTTAACAAGAATACAAAAACTACAGAATATTATTATATAAATGAAAAAATAGCATGTGCAAGAAAATATAATATTAATGTGCCATACACCGTTCTCATAATGGCTGACAAGTGCACAAAAATGAGGTCAACCATTCATTAGTTTACAATATAGAAGAAATGAAAGCACATTGAATGTGTTTATAGAAGGAAAGTAAAGAAAAGTATAGAAATTGACTTTTTGTTTTGACCTAAATTCGTGCTATCCACCTTTATTTTGTATGAGCAGCCTTGTTCAGCCTTGCAAGATGACTGGGTGGCCTCATTTTGGTGTGCTTGTCAGCCATTATGAGAACGGTGTATTCAGCTTCCCAGACTCTGCAGTCCCTTTATCTGGGAAATGAGAATCATTATGATTTATTCATTTGCTCTGTGTAGTTGATATGAAATGCTGAAAGCATATTCATATGGTATTCAGATGAGCTGTGTTTTGACAGCCATTTGGCATGGATCACTACCACATGCAGTCTCATTAATTTATATTAACCATCAGGTTATGGTTTCTTTGTTCTAAGTTTTGAACCCGACAATGATTTTGAAAATGAGAGCTGGGATTTGCCTTTTTGGGGCTGGGAAAATGGGATTTTATGCACTGAGAATGATCCACAAACAAAAATCAAAGAAAGAAAGAAAGAAAAAAAGAATAGTATTGTAGTAATTCAAAATAAACAAAATGACACAACAGGTAAGTCGACAAACTTTTATTCACGTTTTTCCAAATAAAATGCGGCATATTCTAAATCCCCATACATTCTCTTATTAATGTAGTGAGCTTATGGTTGCCTGTGGTTTAACTAAGGGTAAATGTGGTTTACCCTGCTGGCAGAGTCTCCGTTGTAATTTCGAATTCCCCTCTCGCTTGGGGGAAATTAAAAGGAGACTGCTACCAGTTTGTTTTGTGCATACAATTTTTTCTTGTTTCCCCACAAAAATCTATTTTTTAAAAGATTTCAATTCTGGGATGGTATAAAATTTTCATGTTTGATTCCGGATCAGGATACATGCACTTATATTCAAATGGCCTAAACAATAATACTTGTTTTATTTTAAAAATATTAAAGAATCTATCAGGGGTATTCATATAACCTGGAAGATGTTCAGTCATTTATAGTCAAAGCCTTTTAAAAACGTTTTAGAATAATTCTAAATTTATCTGTAAAAAAAATATTCAAGATCGGTGACGCGTAACAGTTTCTTGAAATTGCATAATTCAATGTAAGGACTAAGTCTAGGTATCAGATCAGGGATCGATCCAGTTGCAGTTTTTTTTCTCTTGACAGCGATCACGTTTCGTATAGTGTTGGTTCATATGAAGACTAAGACTAAAATATCTATCAAAAATACCAATAATGATAATTTTCCAAAAATATTTCTAATATTTAAATGTCAGCTATATTAAAAGAAACTTCCGGCAAGAAGGAGTAGATTCTAGGTGGAAAGTCAGCAAATTATTTGCTTGGTCATCAGTTGATCATCGTTAAAATTATCTTATGATTTTTTGAAGTTTCATTTTCAAATTATTTGCTTGGTCATCCTTGATCATCTTAAAAGTTATCTTTTGGTTTTTTGAAGTTTCATTTTCAATAGCGGGTCAAGGCTTGTGAGAATATCAGATCTTTTTTAGCGCCATAACGATCGTGCTCTTCAACGTCTGCTTTGTCAATCAACAGAAAATAAAAGAACGCCTTTCTGTTCGGGGATACGTCGGGATGATTCGGGAAATATCAGAATGACTCGGCAACTGTGTATTTAAATTTGATTGGTCAATTAAGGCAGTCTAATTTTAACGACCAATCACATCTGATGACGTCACTTAAGGGTATAAATTTGGTCGTTCTTCGGGCTACATGATATACCATACACGACTTCGTGAACAAGGTATACGTATAGAGTTCTTGTGACTTTCAGAGAATTTTATTCTACGTAGTTTCATCATGCAGATCTTTGTGAAAACTTTGACTGGCAAGACCATTACACTTGAAGTAGAACCAAGTGACACAATCGAGAATGTCAAGACAAAGATCCAAGATAAAGAAGGCATCCCTCCAGACCAACAGAGGYTGATTTTCGCCGGCAAACAACTCGAAGATGGCCGAACCTTGAGTGACTACAACATCCAGAAAGAAAGTACTCTTCATCTTGTCCTTCGACTAAGAGGAGGAATGCAAATTTTCGTTAA